GTGTGCGAGACAGGCCCTCCGAAAATTGGACTGGATCGGTCGCGTCACGCGATCTGCACGCGACTCGCGTGCAGATTTCGTGTACATGTACAGATTCCGCCTACATGACATGGGTTGAAATTGTCTCAGTGAAACCAAGATGGTTTATTTTAGGTCAACCAAGAAATCTGGGCCGACAGAAGTGAGAATCTGTCAAAATCTGTCGGGCCAAGATTGGCCGTTCTACCCGAAATCTGTCCGATTTTGGGGGCGACAAATTCTGTTGCGCTCTCCTGACAGATCCAAAACAAATTAAATGCAATTCCGTATATTGCAATTATTTCTAGGTGATTTTGATGCAGACTTCGAGCTGGTGCAGCTATGCGATCACAAAAAAACGCTGTAGATGTTTGCTTTTGAGGTTAAAATAGGGCGTTGGTTCTTCGGGAATGACGTGGTTTAATCATGATGTTATACTGTAGTTGAAAAATGTACATGTATTGGAGTTCAGAGCTGTAAGTGATGCGTTGTCTCTTCAATATTTTAATGAAAGGCCTGGATCGAGACGATTACACTGCTTGTCAAGAAATCTTGTCAACCTACCCAATGGTACATGTTACGGTTGCAAGCAAAACGAAAGTCCGGTGTACGGTTGGCAAATTTGCACAATGTTCGTTCCCTAGCAACAGATTGAATTTCGTCGCCAAATGGAGCAACGGTGCCTCTCCAGCAATGCGCTCCTTTGGAAACGGGAAAGCATGCATCTCATTCCGCAACTTGCCGTCATCAGCGATGGTCCGAGTCTTCTCTGCGACCGTCGCACTGCTTTGTGTGCTTTCAAATGCCCCCACATCGACTTTTGCGCGCACAGGTGTCGTGTGTACCAAGATTGGCAGTGTTGTCTCCGCGGCAACAAGATTGTGTCTCTGTGAACCATGTCACATGTGCGAATTCAAGAAGAAGTCTCTGTCTTGCGGCTTAATTGAGCGCCAGGGCCTCGATCTATCGGACGGATCAAACATGAAGGTAGACCAACCTTTGCTCGCACCGACGGATTGGCTCCTTACCGAATCAGAGATAACTGCATCGCGTGGTGGTTCACCTCGAAGCGACTTGTCCACTTTCACGACGGGAAATGATGTGAAAACGTACACAGTTACAAAAGAATTCTTCGACGCGGCGTTTAATGATCTCTCGTCTACCAAGACGGGAGACCGAGTGATGCTGACGGGTTGGGGTACCGACCTCATTCCTTTCCAACCCAACGTTGACGGCGGAAAAAAGTCGCAATTACACGACGTGGTCTCCGGTGTGATACAACGAGGTGGCAGTTTCCACGCTTTGGTGTGGGCCAATCTGTTGGAGAAATCCCAGAACATCAAGGTACGCAACGACATTAACGCCATCCCAGCATCACCGACAGGTGATAAACCTCTTTTTGTCTTCGATGATCGCACACGTGTCGTTACATCTTCACACCACCAGAAAAATTTGATCATCGCGTCTAACACTTCGACGGGGATTGATGAACAGCCTGTGGCGTTTGTCGGTGGCATTGACATCACATCGGATCGTTGGGATACCATCTCCCATAATGAGTCCGTTCTCCGTGAGGCTACAGGGGTCAGTGGCGCCTACAAAGGCTGGTTGGATGGGCATGTTCGAATTCACGGACCTGCCGCAAAAGATGTGGCTGCAAACTTCCTCGCTCGTTGGAACTCCGACTACAAACCGACACAAAGTCTTGCTCACGACCTGCTGGACTTTGAAAACCCGTCATACTCCGACTTAGCGCCTCTGAACTACGCAAGCAGCAAGACGAGCTCGACTCTAGGCCGCCAGAGCGTGCAGATTGTTCGTACTTTCAGTTGTCAGTACAAACGCTACAACGAGTTTGCGCCACGTGGTGAGAACTCGCTGTTCCAAGCACGCATCAAGGCGCTGAAGAATGCCAAAAATTTCATCTATATCGAAGATCAGTACTTTATCCTCGTGCCGGAGTTGCTTAACGCGCTTCTAGAAGTGATGCCGACAATCCAGCGACTTATTGTGGTCGCTCAGCGTCCTGTAGGGGAATCGAAAGCCACCGGATATGAGAAATATTTGTTCGATATGATCGCTCCTATCCAAAAACTGTATCCGAACAAATTGCAGATCTTCTCGACCAAGAAGGAGTTGAATCTCTACATCCACTCCAAGGTCGTGATCATCGACGACGTGTACCTATCGGTTGGCTCAGCAAATTGGAATCGTCGTAGCATGACCTCAGATTCGGAGTTGGGTGCAAACATCATCGATGACGAGACGGTACAATCTCCAGATGGAACTACGGTGCTGAAGGCAGCGCGCGACTTTCGAATCCGCAAATTCCAAGAGATGACGGGTCTGAGCTACGAGAAGCTAAACGCCATGACGTTTATTGAGGCTGCGAACCAGTTTGATGAGGCTGCTGTTGGCAAATCGAGCATCATTGAGCCGTACCAAGTCAAGGAGCAGGCGTATTTTACTGCCGTTAACGAGGTTGTTCGAAAAACGGTAGACCCACAGGACACCTGCATGTAGCTGTTCCAGAACACCGCGTTTAACAGTGCACGTATCCAAATAGACAACATTAATAATTTTTCCTGCTCCCCGTGTGCTGCGGTCACGTACGGACAGGATTAATTCGGGGCGTCTGGTGTATGTTACTTAACTGTAGCGCATACAAACTTCAAATGAATGGCCTTATAGGATCATCATTTCGATTCCCAAGCGGGTAAAATCGACGGATTTATCAAATCAAGCAGGAAATACCAACAGCATAGGAACGTTCACTATTAGTTTATTGGTTCCTCGCAAATATCCGAGCGCACGCAACATTACACTGTCGATCGTATGTACAATATCATCTGTGACTTGCATCACCAGAGCAACTCGATCAGCGCTACAGCACTTGCAAGGATCCGCAAAGAGATAATGTACATTTAGGTTGATGATGAAAATGGTCGGGTAGCATGCTATCCCATGGCTATTAATTTTATGTATTTTAGTATGTCATTCATCGTGGCGATTGGCTTTGCTCAACCTGCAACTTCAGATCTTCTTTCTGCACTCCTTGAACGGCGGCCTGCACCCATAATCAGTGCTGGTAGTATGTAGTGCAGCGTGATGGAATCTATTCAACACAACGTGAGAGCTACGTAATAAAAAGGTGTTAATATCCTCTGAGCAAGCCCAAAGTTTCGCTTACTTTGAGTCATCAAGTTTCTTCTTGAGTGCGAGGACACGATTGTCGTAAGTAAAGTCTTCCTGCCGCGCATTCTCCAGGTAGCACAAGCCGTACTCGTCCCACCATTTTTTGGCAGCTTGTCGTTCACTCTCGATCTGTGCAGTAAGATTGGCCTGCTTCGAGACGTAGTCGACCTCCTTCTCGTTTCCTTTGGATGCCATTTCCATTTCCAACCAAAAGCAAAAGTACCTCAACTGCCAACCGAGCCCATCGCGTTCTATTCTTATCGACCATCGTCTTCCATGCCTGATTTATTAATAGCTTACAGCGGTTCGCTCAAATATTTTCGTAGCTCTAGTTGTCCTAAACGCGATGGCCAAGCGGTTTAGTTCTCGCAACACTTCGGTCATAAAATCATAACAATCATATAACAATCAGCAAACCAAGCAAATGCAGTTATGAGGACTTTAGCAGCATCTTTTCGCAAGTAGCATGAATAGCTCTTCCGCAATGTCGCTGCTTGGTACAAGGACGCACAGGAGTCTGAGACATCCGCGGATAAGGTCACGAAGAGAGAGCTACATGAACTATAATACATGTACCTACCCGTCGTTTTACTGGGATAGCCAAAAAGCCCGAATCGTATTACATGTAGCTATGATATTTGCAATTCGCTATTATAGCTCTGCCATATTGCTTTGTGTCCTAAAACCGCGGAGTAAATATTTATTCATTTACTTAATATTTTTGGCCAATACGACCAAATTCAGATTGAAGCCCAGAATATATAGGATTTCAACTGCATTTTGTAAAATTTCCTCAATAATAAAGTCAAACCTTTCGCGCCAAACCGACAAAGCAGCTCGTTTTACTGCACTCTCAAATGCTGCACTGCAACTCGACATCAACCATGACCTCCCTGCAGTAATCATCTTGATGGAGCTCGCTGATGATTCTTGAAATTACATATCTAACCCTAAAGTGATGTTGAAGTAAAACGTCGCTGTTAATGGAAACTGCGTACTCAAAACAACATACGTGCAGATGTACCTCTTCTCCTTTTTCATAGTGACGTGTACATGCACACTGACAAATAATAACTACTGAGGAATGCCGAGTACAAATTTCTGGACGAGGAAGACAGAATGCTAGTGCAGATAGCACGAGATATTGCGGGGCAAGGCGCTGGACGCATTACGTGGATGACTGTAGCACGGAAAATGAATTCGCTAAAGCGAACCTTCGTTACAGATCTGTCCAAGCTCCCACCTTTGTTTTACAGCCCCATACGATCCTCTCGTGGTCGCAGAAGAACTCGTGCCCATCTACTACGCCAGTCCCGTACGTGTGATTACCATCGCACTCAGCAGGATAATACTCACATCCATCGCGAAGAATGGACACTCGGGCATCAAGATACGCGGAATCTTTTTTAACATTTGCTAGTGCTGATGGAGCGGGAGACCAGGACTTAAATCATAAACATAAATCTTCATTTGTAGATACAACATCGGCAGTATTGGACGTGATTGCAGCTTCGGGATTCGGTGGGGTCGCGGCATCGAATACTTTCACTGGTTCTACTCTAGCAACTTTAGATACAATGACAATGTCAATGTGTGGAGATGGGAATGTTATGTGCTTTGTCGAAGCTAGGTCAAGATCGTTTGACAGTCCCAGACGAATTTCAAGCCTTGACTGCAACGTTTGAGGACGTGTTGCGACAGGAGATTGTATATCCGCCTAGTTCGCCTCATTTGAATGTTGGTGAGTTATTACCCAGTGATGTTTCCGCACTAATTGGTGCAGTAGATGGCATTAGGTCTATTCAAGCTGCGGATGCTTTCATGCTCTGGGCTGGGTAACGTATTGGATCCGTTCGTTCTGTCAAAACCTGTTCGAGCAAGTATTGGAATCGAGATACGACGTGACTTGGTTGATCGTTGCAACGGAAATCTAGTTAAGCATTCCCTGCAGCTCTCGACACTGCAAAATGTCGAGGTGTACGCTGAAGAAGTGAGGGACATTGAGCTTTCGATGATACATCCATTTTCAATAATATTTGTGAATAACCTGAGCTTTAAGCCTACCGCCACAAATCACATCACATATGAGCCTTTTGTTCATGCCGAACGCCTGGCACGCTGCACTCACAAGTGAGATTTGCCCCTGACATCATTGCATCTGCCCGAACGCTTATGCGGCCGTTGGCAACTGCATTCTGTTGTAGAGGTTGCTGCGAGCTGGACGTGAAGACACGTTCCTGTATATCTGTATACTGAGCAGAAATAGACATGGAAGCATTTGATTATGAATTACGTCCACCAACTAGACAGTAGTATCATGGTTTTCCTCTATGTAATCTGTTTGAGATATTCTCCCATCTTCTTCGGCCTTATGAATTTGCTGAACAATGAAACCTTTGTTTTCAAGTTGCCTTTAGCTGAGAAAAGATCGTACATCAAGTAAAACTTGTGGTACCTTCCCACAAGTTCATGTTGGCTGCTGGCAGACGTACGACCTGAAAGCGGTGGTGTGCACGATTTGGCACAGACGAACGCGATGTAGCGTACAGTGATGGGTAACAAAGGTGGGAAACCGGTCTTTCCACCCGCACACTACGCGATGCCGGCGCTCCTTCTTCTTGTCAAGAAGCCGCTTCGATTTCAGCGCAACACAAGTTTTTTGTGGGCTACTCATAGCTTGATGTACTTCCACGCCGCAATGTCACATAGATGCTCCTTTGATTGCCGTTACAACGCTCTCTCCATCTCGGTGTGAGTAGAACATCCTGCTGTCGCTAGGCGCTTCCATCCATTTGCCTGAAATGAATTCTTGTGCAAGTTGTGCAACGAAAGACTGGTGCGGATAGCGATCCTAGCTCATATCGATAGTCAGCCTTCTTGACATGTAGGCATTTACACAGATAACATCGACGATCGCCATACCAAGTGTTTTATACCACTTCTTCGATGTGTGACCATCTGCCAGCGAAAAGCGTCTGCGCAGTTGACCCAGGCGCTCGACGCCTTGCATGTTTGCTTTGAAATAAGCTACACAGGCTGGAGCATTGAACGGACTTCCAATTTTGCATGTATGTGCTTTCTCAGATGACTTATCAGCATTTGAAATCATTCTTACTACCGCACTGTCGTACCAAGATACTGCAACCATCTCATGGCCGACCGATACTCCTTGCCGATGTTGAATTGTCAGTGCGACCAAGCTGCGGGTGAACGCTTGCGATAGCACAGAACACAGATTCTCAGGGATAGTTGGTGTGTAGGATGATAGACTATATGGTTGGTAGATGAAGAGTTTCTCTGGACACCCCAAGTCCGGACAAGAAAGCTCTCCTCACTTTTGCTTTTGCTAAGTACCTAAGAGGCAACAACTTCAGGGAGAACAGCCACCTCCCCTCGCCTGCGTCTTCCACTTCAAGTGCCTTCTCAGTTCAATAGGTTTTGAGCCCAAGACCCCCGACGCTGAACTACGCAACAATGAAGTGGAACTCGGATATGAACTTCAATGGGAAGAACTATGCCCCCTGGAAGGCTCGCATCAAGACACTGCTCCAAGCCAAGCGTCTCTGGGGCATAGTGACTCGCACGGAGCTCCCTCCGCGTCGGGATGCCCGTCCTGACGTCGTCGACTCGTTTTGGAGCCGGGAGCATGAAGCGACCGCGTTTCTCATGACAACGCTGTCGGATGAAATGGTGATTGCGGTGAGCAACAAGACCTGCGCGTACGAGATATTTGAGCTGCTGGAGAAAACGTACGAGCCGAGAAACTGGGGAAGTTTGTGTGCTCTTCGTGAGCAATTTGTGACCTTGAAGTACAAGGATGGCAAAGACATGCTGCCACACATCAACGAGCTGAAGACACTAGCCGGACGGCTGGCCAACCAAGGCAAACCCGTTGATGACACGGAGAAAGTTTGTCAGCTACTCAGCAGTCTGCCAAGTTCATGGGACGCATTTAAGAGCATGTACTACATCCAAGAGTCACCGATATCTTGGAGCTCGATGGAAACCAATGTGATGGCAGAAGCTGCTCGGCGGGTTGCGACTGGGAGTCAAATGATTGAGACCTCAGCCATGGCAGCCAATGCGATACTGCAACAGGAGTCCCAGAAACCGAACACTAGTCGTCGTCTTAAAGGATTTGGACGGTCTGGACGTAAAAGCGAAGGTCCAGGCGGCCAAGACGGAGACAAGAAACACGGGCGTCATTCCAAAGGGGGAGAATGTCACTACTGTCACCAAGAAGGGCATTACAAGCGAGACTGCCCAATGCGGAAACGCCATCGGAGTGAACAAGACGGTGGCGTGAGTGCTGATGCCGCTGTACGCGTGGTTGATAAGACGGAGCACGACGATCACCATGCCCCTGCTGCTGCGGCTGCGGAAGTATGGGGGCTCGCGGTACTGGTTACCAGTCCAAGAGACCTGTCCGAAGCCTCGGCTAACAGCTCGGACTCCGATACCGTCTCGGAGCTGCTGGACTCAGCGGCGTCCTCTGCAGATACGATGTCTACAACGTCTAGTGACGAAGAAGTTGATGACTGGCTTCGTCTGTGTGCATGGGATGTATCGGGCGCTTACTTCCATGGACAGCTTGAGACGACCGAGACAAATGTGTCGGGGTCAGCATCGGTGCAGTTGGTGGCAGAGCCCGAACGTACAGAAGCTGCAACTGCGCTGAGCCAAACCCCCAGTCATGATGACACGTGGATAATTGACAGTGGATGCTCACAGCATATTTGCTTCACTCGCAGCATGTTCGACAACCTAAGACTGTGTGGAGGGACAGTGACAGTGGCGAACAATGCGACTGCCCCAATACAAGGCGTTGGAACGGTAACAATCCACGTGAAGGACTCGGAGAATAAGCTCCAGGAGCTGGAGCTGACCAATGTTCTTTTCCTCCCTGGACTGCGGAAGAACTTGATCTCGGTGACTCAGCTGGCGCTGAAAGGGGTTGCTTTTGACTTCCACACTACTCCAGGAAAGGTGATCCTACAGTTAGGCAGCAAGACGTTGACCAGTGAGAGCGAAAATGGCGTGTGCGTCCTTAAGTCGATGAACAAGGAACAGGTTGCACTCTATGTTTTTCCTAGACTCACGATCGATTTAGCTCACCGACGCTTTGGCCATGCTTCCAAGTCCGTTCTTGCCAAAATGCTGGCCAAGAAAATGATCACGGGCATGAAAGTTGTTCC